GATGGGCTCAGGTACAGCAAGGATTGCAGGGCTGGCTCAGGACCGGGCAGGGTTTTGTTCTGTTGTACGTGGGGTCACTATGAGTCGGAGCCGACTTGCCAGCACCTAACGACAACAATGTACGACAGAATGAAACGTAGCCTGTGCTGCCCCTCTTCCTGGCCAGTGGCCAGCTGCAGTCAACTGTGGCTGCCGTGTCTCTCCAGCGCCTTCCGACCCGGGGGCTCATCTCCCAGCCCTGTGTCGGATGGCGTCTGTCGTGGTCCATGGGGTTTCTCATTGGGCTTTTGGAGGCAGACGGCCAGGCCTTTCTTTGGTTGTAAAAACAGTGTGGTGGCTCAATTCTCGTATCAACAGAACCAGCATTAATCACTGACTAGAGGGCAGACAGATCTCCTTGTTATTCAGAAGGTCTTCAGTGGTCAGTCTTCTCAGAATTGGACCTAGCCATGTCCTTCGTCCCTGTCTGTCTTAATCTGTAGACTCTGCTGAAACCTGTCCAGCATGGGTGACCTTGCTGGTATCTGAAGTATTGGTGGCATAGCTTTCTAGCATCACAGCAACACAGAAGCCATTAGTGTGACAAAGTGACAGACAGGGGATGGGAAAGAGGGCTCAGGTAACATTGTGTGGCAAAGGTGAAGGGGTCCGGCAGCTGCAGTTAGGGGCCCTGGTCAGTGTCAGTCAATCCAAGGGGAGACTTCTCTGGGTGGGCCCGATCTGATCAGGCCTCTGAGATTAGAGACTCTCCCACTGGCCTCAAAGAAGAAGTTCACCACTGTGAGCTCTGCAGCTGCAAGGAGACAAGTTCTGCCCACAACTACACGAGCATGGAAGGGGGGACCCCAACCCTCAGAGGAGACCCCAGCTGCAGCCAACACCTTGACCACAGGCTGGTGACACCCCCCAAAGCAGAGCCCCCAGCCCAGCCAGCGTGAGATCATAGATGTTTTTTGGCCGCTCATCTCGGGGGTAACTTGTTACACAGCAACAGCTGCCTAGCACACGGTCGTGTGGAAGCCAGGAGCCGCAGAGCTCAGGTGGGGGGTAGCCGGGTGCGCGAGGTGGTACCTGAGGGC